TCGATTTAAGCTACTTTGCGAAAGTTCGCGTGCTTCGAAATTGTTTCGGCAAACAAATGCGGGATGCTTGAACTTTGACTACGAGATACATAATTTAATGAAATAAATACACAAGGACAGAATATTTACGAATTCCCATTATATTTATATTGCATTAAATAAAATAGTATAGAAATATATATTACATTTCTGAAATTGAAACAAAAATATGTAACTTAATTATGTTAACTAGCAAATGATTTATTTCTACTGTACGCTACGCTCAATATGAGACATGTTTATCAGGCGTGTACTAACTGGATCTCCTATAGAAACTACAGAGAAAGTAATTGAAACTTACACTTACATCTAGTTGACCTTAGCTTAATAACCCAACGTCTGAAGTATTTCAAACTACATCTACCTTAAAGATTTAATAACTTTACTAATTTAATAACTATTTACTAATATACAGTGGAACATCGCTTAACGAGTTTCATTTGTTCCAAAATTTCCGGATTTTTACTTGTATAGTCAAATACTCGTATTCAATCATGCACATAATATGTTTTAAAAATAATGTACCAGACGAGCAATTCTTACAATACATTTTGCTCGTTAAGCGAGGTTCCACTGTATATTGCTTATGGAAATTTCTCTCGGTTTTCCTACAATTCCAACATCATTAAAACAATGATGTTTCTTGCAAAATATTTTATCTTTAGATATTTTCGACATAAAATTTAGCAGTTGTTTATATATTATTCAGAATATATTATATTCAAAGTTTCCTAAAATGCAAATGACTAGCGAGCTTGAGGCAATTGCGTAAAATAATAATTCGATAAATTTCCCCTTCGTTCCGAACGATACAATGTGAAACCTACATGAAAATACATGCTCATAATTCAATTGCCAACTTAAAAGCGTAACATATTATATTTGTATGTATAAACCGTAATTGCATGAAATATAAGAAATCCAGAAACACCATTTATTTACTGCAATATCGAATCATGTTGTATAAGGCAATATTTATTGTATTAATTGTAACTGATTATTAGTTAATAGAATAAATTGGATCGATCCGACGAAAGGACACGCAATTTGTTACAATGCTTTAATAAAGCGGAACGGAACCGTAATAAAATTTCGCCCTGAACCGCAAAAGTTCTTTTCTTAGTTATTACTTATATAACGTCGTTAACCTGGAAGAAAAAAACAATGCGATGAACAGGAGAGAAGTTCTTTTTTGTCTATCTCTCTCCACTTTTCGTTTCAGTACAATACATTTCCTATTTCAATAAAATATGTTTTCTGTCCTTTTTAGTTCGTTCTGCGTTTGTCGATAAAATGAGTTACCTGCTGACTGGGTTGAGTAATTTTGGAATCCTGCGACATTTCTGTTAATTTCCGCTTATGTAAAACGATTTACCTGATGAAAGATGAGTTGATATTTTCAGTTGCGGTTTCCATCGACTCTCGACCGTATCTGGTCATAAATTATTTCGATGTTTCGAAAAATATAGTACTTGAATCACCTTTTTTTTTATCATACGTTTACAGGTTTTATGAGTGCTGTTTTTGATGGTGTTTTGAAAGTACATAAAATGTCCATTTCCTTTTATTAACTATAATTTTAGTTATGATTGACGTTTGAAGTATTCAACTTAAAAAAAATATTAACCTATTGTTTTTATTAATATTGTATATAAATATTAACTAATATTTTAATGACAACAAAGATTTTTTCCTTAAAGTACAAATTAATCAATTACATAAAATAAACAGCGAAAGATAAAATGAATTTTTAATAACAAGATTATCTTAAATAAGAAGTGGTGATATAATTATAAAATAATAAACTTAATTTAATTAGTATACTAAGAGGTATTACTACCTTTTTTCTGATTATTTTCTGTAATGAAATTAAAGTAATTTTATTGAAGTTAAATGAAATACACGTTTTCAATTACACGTAAGTAGTTAAAGGGATATGCTGTTAAAAAGAACGTAGCTTAGAGTGTCCAATTGAAAAAAATCTCAAATGAACAGCAAATTGTGAGTGAAAATAAAGTTGTAAAGTAAAATAAATTAATTAGCTTGAACATTCAAGCACGAGTAACACGAATCTGAAAATAATTGAATGGAATTGCAGCGCATTTTATATATGAATGAAACGTGGGGAATGCAAGAAATATGGAATATAATTGCATGCATGCAGGCAGCATGGATGTACAGAAACTATACACGAATGTAGATTACAATTTTTTGCTTAAAATATTATAAAAACGATATAATTGAGTTTTCCAACTAAATATTATTATTTTCAACAAATAAATAAATTATTGTTAAGCAGCGTACATCAATAATTGCCATATGAAAAAATCATTTAAATGTTTTGAAAATATTTTGTTTCCAGTTGATAAAGTAATAACTTTTGAATAATTGCTTTTTATATATATTTATAACAATCGTTTGAAAAGCTATTAATAATTCGATATATTTATTTAGAAATATTTTGTGCCCCAAAAATATTTATATAAAACAAAAAATGAATGAATATATATTTCATAACGCAAAGGAAACAAAATATATAACAAAAAGAGCTTTTGTTATTTACACGTCCATGTAAACAGCATGAATGAGCGATTTGATGAATATTGTAATTATTAACTTTTACAAAGCCAGGCATTGTGTGCAACAAATTGGAGCATACTGTTATTCCGCTGATACAAATTGTATGCAAATTAAACTACGATACAACTAGGATGCTGTTTAAATAATTGCATAGTTTTAAATTACTTGCCATAAATATGCATGCGGACTTCTGCTATGCATGAGGAAATCCACAATATTATGCACACATTCTTTGAAGTGTTAAAATGTGCACATCGCTCCGAAAAGATTAAACAGCTCAAAACGTTAATATTGTTGTTTCGAGCGAGAACTTTCAGCGGTTTTATTAAAGGACACGCTCACCTGAGGCTTCGTATCCCGATTCATGACTTCGTACGAATTTCAAGAGCGAAAACATACAAAATAGAAATAAGCGTAGCATGAAAATATAATGACGCAAATTTAATTCTTATCGTTCGACAATTTTCTGCACTTACCTTACACTTCTTCGCTATTATTCTTCGTCACTTCACAATTTTGTCGGAATAGATTCTGTGGATTGCGAAACGAAAGGCTTTTGTAAAGGAAAACTATTTATTTCATAACTGAACGGGAAAGAGTCTACACTTTACACAAATTCAGGTTACGTTACATAGATCAGTATAAACTATAGTTATTTTATTAAATATCTGCATTTCATTCTGCTATTATCATTAACAAGTAATATATAGACTTTTTTGGCGATAGAAATTCAATTTATCGGACACAAGCTCTCTTTCCTAAAATAGGTGGACGCGCCGGGTCCATTAATCAGCACCACCCAAAACGGTCCACAAAAAAGTAACAATTCCAATAGAGAGACATTTACAATTAGTTTTTTTACAGTTTTTACATTAGATTATTCCCACTTCGAATAGATATACGAGAATTTACAATATACACATCAATAACTATAAGCATTATTTTAATGTTACATAATTTATATTTTCAAGGATTTTAATACAATAGGAACTGAAACGACTAGTATAGTATAATTAAGTTATTTCTTGATGAATGTGTTCTTTTATATTGTGCCAAGAGGAGGACATTTAGTCGGCATCTTAAAGTAATGAAGTAAAAGCAATAATAGAACTGAAAACAGTACAAATTTCAATCCAAGTTTTAATCTAACTCCTCGAATGTCTCTGCTCGTAAATTGGCCGGTCCAAATGACTATGGGATTAAAAGAGAAATAAAGTTTATATAGCCGTCCTTAATGCACAATATATAATGACCAATTTTATTATACTTAACATATATTTATAGTTTATTATCTAATAATGATTATTCCTAACTTTGTTTGTGTATATATATAATAAAAAATAATAATTTTATACATGTATTTACAAACTGTTATATGCAGTTATCACGTTAATATAAAACGAAATCGATTTTTGTTTAAATTATAATAATTTCGCTTTATTAAATTGCAACATGCCTGCAACTAAATTATGTCCATCAAAATTATAATATAAAAAAAAAGGAAATTATTCAAAGAGCTGCGCTTCCGCAGCGCAAATACCAATTTTCTTAGTGCCGCCTCCAGTGTAAATCCTTTAGATCAATAATTAGTTTCACGAAGAGCAAGGAAAAACAAACCTGTAATTAATTAATCTAAATTCCCTTCCGACGTCGTCCGATGTTAAACGGGGAACTTTTTGGGAATTATGTCGCGAACTCAACAAACAAATATTTATCAAAAAGTTCCTCCATTCTAAGCTTCAAATCCTCGGGCCGGAATCAGTTTTAATAACGGAAAACTTGCGCAAACTTCCAATTTATTTCAATGGGCATTAAATAGTATTGCGGCGTGTTTTGTGCAAGGGTTGAGAAAAAACATCAATTCCTTCTTTACCCTGTTCGCCGACCAACCAAATCAAATAACACCGACGTTTTAGCATTGATGGATTTAAAAGCCTCATATTTACGGACCAAAGATGATTTTAAAAAATATTGAGGGAAGCGATGAAAGAAGAAGAAAAAAAAACCTTCTAGGGCCAATTTGTATTTTTTTTTGTAGAAACAATAACTTTTTACGATCACGTAAAAGGCGCGTTAAAGTTGCCCCCCGACCCCCTTATGTTATTAAAATAACTTCGTGACCCGGTGTTGCTCTTAGCTGAATAAAGAGAACTCCGGCGGTTTTTCTTTGTGGAAAAACCCTAAATGGAAACGAAAGAAAATGCTATTTATAAAGACCGTATTTACACTCTTTAACTAATTACCATTTAATATTTATCGACGTACATTCATTATTTTACCTTAATTTTAGAAGCATAATGTTTTCCCCACTTTATATTTTAAATTTCAAATAAATAATTAATTATTAATCTAGTATTATATCACAAATCGTATGATAGCAGTCAAATATAGAGAAGGAGAAAGGAGTATTTGTTACATTTTAAGGTAATTTGTGATATGTCGTAGAAGTTGATAGATAAGAAGATACAGAGAGATGTACTAAGTGATTATCTAAACTTCGAAAGTTTGTGTCCTTTTGGCGTTGATGCGTTTGTTGTTCGTGCTGATGGGTCACCTGTGCGGTCGCCACTTGGGATTTCTGTATCTGCACAACAAGACCTTTTTGAAAGCCTGCCGAAAGACTTTATTGAATATAGTGTAGAATATGGGATTTACCAGAGAACTGGCGTATCCCAGCCACGTGACGAACTGAAAGACCCAATTGTCGATATGCCTCTCGCACTCGCCGCAGACAATCGGCAGCAAGTTGAGGACAAAAAACGGGGCCCAGAGGATAACGAAAGTGAAGAAAACCACCCCTAGGACCTTCGTGGCTTTCTGCTCTAATCGGATTATCCTGCCGTGCCGCGAAGAATTGCGGGAAATGACACTCGAGTTGCGACTATGATGGGACCTCACCGTGCCTGCACGAGCGTTGTTGTAGTTGTATCGTTGCAGGAGACATGGAGATGAAGGATTTTTTCTGCGATCCACCAATGTTGCTCCTCCGCTGTGACCATTCTGTTTCAGCGTGGCTGACCTTCGAAGAAGCGAAGGAGTTTTCGGAGCTGCAGATGTTTTTACTGTCGTCCTGGTGCTTCCGAAACTGGATCCCCTGTGATGTTTCTTCCTGGTCGGAGACTCCCAGGTGACCACTATATTCGTCGGCGAAGATTCCCCATTTATACCGGTCCGAGATTTGCTCAACATGGACTTCTTAATCGGGGATACGGCCGGGGATAGTTTGTTCTCGCTGGTTGATAAAATTTCGATTTTTTCACTCGGAATTATTTTCACTTCGGCCGTCTGCGGCGCTGGTGATTTATCGTTCTGTTTATGTCCGAAATATGGACACGTACACGGGGGAGGTAGCAATAACGAATTGCTTTCACTACGTTCGGATTTACTAGTCTCCTCTGGTAGGTCGATGGTTCGAGTTTCATGGAAACTGGATCCTCTGCGACGCCATCTAGGTGAAGGACTCTCGTCTCTACTATCGCCTTCGTGAAATGTCGAGGCTCGCCTTCTTTTTACCAACCACGGCGACGGACTCTCCGATGATGACGATAATAGAGGTGAATTTAAATTTGAAAGATGCAATTCTCGGTCACCGGATCTGAAACGAATACAATACTCACATTATTACTATGAATTCAATCATTTAATCAAAAATGCAAAATCTATCTCTATTAGATTGCTTTCCTATAATTTAAATATGAGAAATAAAAGAGAATTTACGAAAGTTAGCTAAGTTAATATTTGTGATCATTGATATATTTTAGTTATTAACTAATATATAAAAAAAATATGAAACAAGAATAGATATGAATACGTAACTTTTCTCATTTCAGTAAAAGGTGAACACTCGATAACGATATAATTTACAACAGGAGAGACCCCGGGTAGGGCTTATTAATTGCTTCAACTAACTATGTTTGCTCATAACTAACACTTAGTTTTTGCTGTTTGTAATTACACATAAAATATTACTGTATTTCTACCCGAGAAAACTAAAAATAAACGTATTTTCTAACAAAAAAATTACGTAATAAAAATAATTAGTGAATCAAAAGTATAAAGTTATAATATAAAAATTATTTTAACATAATCACAATATTCTTGTTACAACTTAGTAGTATTATGTATCAAGTATAAATATTTGTTATAAGATGCACTCTATTCTTTATATCGAATTACAAATGCAAAGTAAATGTGTTATAATAAAAATGTAGATTTGATTTACACTCTATAAATGTATGATAAATATGTGTCGTAAAAATACTCTCATGAATATATCTCGTAGAAATTGAACTGCTTGAAAATTCTGTACTGTATCAGATGGTTTCAGTATGTTGCAAAGTTCGTCTATATAAAAAATACTGATTTAACATTTTACTTCTTAGATATTATTTGCTTTGTAGAATTGTAATATAACTTTGTTATTTGATGAAATAGTCATCAGATATGCAACTTTTATAACATTATAACAAGTATAAACTCACAGTTTTACAATCATTCTATACAGCGAACAGATGCACATGGCGTGCATAAACAAATCAGCAGAGACAAAATAATTATTATGATATGTCCACGTGTTTATCCAATTCACTCGTTTGAACACATTGCAATCTCGGTATTTTCAGATCGTAGTTGTTTTATTAAATCTGCTATGAATGTGTGCCTCCTTTATCAATACTAACTAAAATTTTATTCTGCACTAATGTCAATTGTCAGTATTGTCAAATTATTCAATAAAAGCATGATTACAAGACTATACTTTTGTAATAAAGCATACAAATTGCAGTGTAGATTAAGCTAGGTGCACTGACTTGGATCATCATCCTGGCTTAAATTAGCATTGGATTGCACAATGTAGTAGATTATTTGATTAATCGCTCGATTAGGCTCGTTCAGATCCACAACGACCATGATGGGAAGCATCATAACGTTGTACTCTGCAGATATCTCCGCAGATACGTGGCCTTTGTCTGCCGCCTGAGCTTCACGTTGATAACAATACTGTACGTAATTATATATATATATCTTTTTACTCAACGCGAATAGAATAATTCCATCATCGATATTTGAATGAACATTTTTATTATTTCCGTTCGATCCTCATCAAATAAACCTTGCTGAAAACCGGTATGACGGAACAGCAAGAGGACTGACAGATGTATTGAATGACCAAGTTCACTTGTTCAACTGCGCGGAAAAAAGTAACAGATTAACCCTTTTCTATGTGTTTCCGGATCGCGTTGGTCCGTGCAAAGTGCATAGACTCGTTCGTACAATGGAAATTTGAAATGAATCTATTGTTGCCGAGAATTGCAACATTTTCAACTACATTTCCTCGAACGAGTTCCGCGAACTCTTTTAATTCATCCACGTATTGTCAATATTCACATTTTTTACCCGAAATATTAATAAAATACTAGTATCATAGGGGGAAAAGACTACGGTAAATGGGCCAATAAAAATTATTAAATAAATAATATGATATAATTAAATCTGTACGTCTTTAAGTTAAAAACATGTACTGAGAATGTTGTAGATTATATAAAGAGTTGAGAGCGAAAGCAAGTAATGCGAGGATTCGTAGAATTCCTGAAATAAAGGAAGAAAATAGCAGGAGACGGTCAATATGATCAATAAACAGGTTATTAATATCCGACCTGTTGCACCGTATCATTATAGCTTATGTATTTTTAAAAGTGTTTTGTGACTTCAGAAAGTCTTGAAGTAAGAAAAAAAAAAGGATAAAAATTGTAAACACATGAAAACTGAAAAAAAACACTCCATTGGCAGTTTGCCATTGAAACAGATCAAAGGTAAAAAACAACAGTGTTTGTGAAATGAACGATATCCGAACTGAATTTTTGTTTGTTTTATATGTAAACCAATATTCGATATGCGTGCAGCTTGCATTAGAATAATTAACTAATTACATTATTGTACACTAAATTTTAATTAAATTTCTATACTTTCAAATAAATTAATATTATTGATTGTTTATTCTCCAAGATTAATAACTAACATTATATTTCCATTTACCCATGTTATAACGATTTCATTATCCTCCTAATCCACGTCAATATTTAGAATCTCATTATTTCTGTTTGAATATCCATTGTTTATTGATATACGCAAATTGGAATTGATTCATTACTAGCGTATTATTATCTAGCTTTTATTTATAAATGATACAATTACAATTATATTAAAGTAGGAAACGAATTGATTAATGATTAATGTAATAGGTGAATAAGTTTTTATGAGGGAGGCTGCAGATCGTCACAAGAGGTATTAAAAATAATAAATAAGGGTATGAGTATGTAGTTAGAGAATAAGGGTTTCAAAGCTTCTGAAGTATAGAGCACGGCACGCTGAAAGCCTTAAGTGTGACAATTCAGGTTTATGTAACATTTTCATAATTTAGATCAATACATTGAATTCTTGTTTCCTAAATGATCTAGTCACCAGCAATATGTGTATTCAATAAAATAGAATCAATTAGAATCTAAGTATTAACTGAATTAATCTAGAGCTAATTAAATCCTTTTGGTTTTCATTTCAAATGATTCTGACAATAATTACAAGAATGAAACTCAACCTGACTTATGTTTAGTATATTTATGTGACATATTTTTTATCAGCCGCAAATTTAACGGCGCAAGAAGAAAACGTCCAATCGTCTAAATTGCCGTCTTCGAGACAAACTGTTGTCACGTTTTCTAGAAAATAGTGATATTAAGTGATAGTAATGGATGTCGAGTAGAGGGTACTTTTGTTTATGTGTGTGTGCGCATAAATACAAGTTAAGTATGTGTTTTATAGCTGTTTGCGTTTTAATGAGAGCAGCACGCTTGTTTTCTCTCCAGAGATATTTCTGAAAATATGCATTCCCAACTATGCAACGGGCGCTGCGTTCCTAAAGTTGCGGTTTTTTTTAAATATTATGCTGCTCGCATTTGCTACCCACGAGGATATTATTTTATATAAACCGTAAGAACTGTTGATCCAAACTATTATTATTTTCTATATTGCTTTCATATTTTTTCCTTTCTTGAAATATCCATGCACACCAACCATACAAAAATGTTATGTAAACTTTATGCTGTACATAAAGTGATATTATTGTTTCAAAACCAAGTTAATATAGAATACCTGGCTTTTTTAAAAGAAAATTCAGATGCGAATATTGGGACAAAAACATATTTACGAACATACAAAATTTGTGGAATGTTTCATACGCATATGTTACTATAGTTTTTTTTTATTATTTATTTATTATTACGGTGTGCACATTGGTTGGTATTCGAGTTATTTATAGATTCGTTCGGCAAAAAATATTTGATTTTAGGGACGCAATATTACCCGGAATAATAATAATCGTAAAAGAATATTACTGGGTTGAGGATAGTAAAGGTGGAAATGCTACGACTCGGAGGGTTATACTGTTACAGTGATTTTAGCCAAGTTCATTTTACATAAATCTATAGTTCTCCGAAGTAGAGGTAATAAAATGCAAGCTCAGATCTGTTTTATTATTAAGTTTGGATGTGGATCGACGTTCTGCGTTCCCATTTTTATGGTGAGATAAAGTTTCATCCGCATTCCGCGATGAACTCCGCCGATATAATTGTGCTAGAATTAGCACTTAGCACTAGAGAGTCGATCCGTTATTGGGTGCCCAGCTGGAGATAACAAATTAAGTGATTTTCTCACATACAAGAAACTTTAAAACGCAGCTTGACGCTTCTCCAGATATCAGGTCCTATACAGCTTTTGAGTTAAGCTACACCGAGTGCAGATTATACTAGATTTAATGTTACTTACGGAGCTTTTACTGCAATAATCTACTAGAATTATATAGAAACATACTACTTAAATAAATAGGGTGGAATCTTAATCAGTTCGACTTTCGAGTTAAAATCCAGAAAATTTGGATGTTCATGTTTTCAATTAAAATAGTACATTCATAATAATCAATTAATAATAATAGTTTAAATAGTAAATTAACCTAGTTATAGCTTTTGTAGTTTTAGCTGTATCTGTAGTTGGATAAAAGATATATATTGGGTCGGTAAGAAAGTAATTCCGGTTTTTTCGTGTGAAATAAAACAGGTTTTTCTATTTTATGATTCCGCGCTCATTGAACTTCTGATCCTTATCCTGTTCAGTTTTTAAGAAAGTGCGATTTCAGGTTATCATAATTAGTGAAAGTTTTACCATTTAAAGTGTCTTGTAAACTTCGAAATAAATGGTAATCTGATGGTAGAAGGTCAAGGCTATATGCGGGATGCGATATCACTTCCCAACCAAGCTTCAATAATTTTCCATGAGTTACCAAAGATGCGTGAGGATTTGCATAGTTTTAGTGATTTGCCAATTCTTGGAATGTTTCCTCCAATTCTATTATTTGTTGACAGTAAACATTTGAATTGATCGTTTGATTCCTTGGATGAAGCTCAAAATACGTAAGCCCGTCAAATTGATAGCATGATCTTTTTTCATGCAAACCAATTTTGTTAAAAAATGAACATCAATTTACGAAATTTAGTAAATTATCGTTTTTGCACTCCTGTTAAAATATACCCTAAAGTAAAAGGTGCAAACAGAATTACGTACAATTTTCTTCTAAATCTAAAGCTAAAAGTGACATATCATACTATTTATTTGTGAAAACCGAAATTACTTTATTGCCAAGCCAAGAGAATGTTAAATGGGTCTTAAAATTCTATCTTCTTTGTCAGAAGTAAAGTTAACCGATGTATGACTGTACTATTAAATAAAAGTAAAACAGGGCATGTGTAATTATAGATGTATCTGCTATTATATAGAGTTTATATTTCCAATATCAATACTAGTAAGTAGAAGTAAAAATAGCAGAGGTTTCGATGTTGAGATGAGTGCTGAGGTTCAGTCAGGGTAAATACGGAAAAAGGGGTTTGGATGGATCGATCGAAAAATTATTATTTCCTCGAGCCGTGCAGCTCAACAAATCTCGACACTGTCTATTACACGCCAAAGGCCACTGTTATTGGGGAAACAGCGCACCCACTCGCATCCCTCGTTCCTAATGAAAGGTTTTAATTGCGGTCCCAATTAATTTAATTCGGAAGCCAAAAATTTCCGAGCAGTTTCATTCATTAAAATAATTTATCAATACGGAAAACTAATAGTTAAATTTCACTATGATGAAATTATATTTTAATAGGGCCAAAATCCATTTACATTTATTTCGGTCCTAGACCTCTTAGGTTTTGCCAACGCTGCCTTAACGAGCAATTTAAAAATGTAATTGCGAATTTTCCGCATCTCCGGCGCTGCATTTAACGTCATATAATATATTTCGTTCGTTATGTAAATATAATATTATAATTTTATGGTTAAATATACCAAAAAAAATTACAGGTATTTGTAAAAAAATAACAATATAAATGTCTATTATTTATTAATTTAATGTTAAAAACAAAATTTAATCACTTTTAGTTTAATTAATTACGGTGAATTTAGGATTGCTTATAGTAAAGTTTCAGTTATATTTATTTAAGGTACAGACTCGCAAAGCGAGTGTAATTGAAAAGCAATCTGGTGTGATTTTAGATTTTCCACGGATCGATTTCAAAGAGAAAATAAAAGTTTCTCAATGAAAACTCTAAATACTAGTTGGAAATTACTTCATAAAGTGGAATTCCTCTTTTATTTGAAGCTGAAAATGCGAATTATTGGATTACCATTGCATAACTTAGTTACCACCCCACAAATTGGAACGGCAAGTCGCCGATCTCCATATGTCGTAATCTATTATTTGTATGGTAATTACCCATTCGTTTGTAATTTCACACGAAAATAAGTTTTATTATTGAAATTGCATTGATCACTTTACATCAAGCAGATAAAATGGAGCACTGCCTCCTAATCAAGAACTTTAAATCCGCAGTTTATGCAGAAAAAAAAGACTAGTCTACATAAAGGAAACAAATCCATCATGTATGTATAAACAATAATTGTGTTTTTTAGAATTTATTTTTATTTGGCCAATTAAAAATTTAGTTTTGATATCTTCAAACCGGACTTTAGTGAATCCGGAATGATATAACCCGCACTATGCGAGGTATTGCTATATAGAACTGCATATAAGTTTATTTTTATATGAGTTTATATAATGTATACCAAATATTATTAAGTAATGAAAAAGATTTATAAAATGAATTCTGTTGTGGGTGCAAATTTAGAGAAAGAATCTTTCAAAATCTTAATTATTTATATTATTTATAAATGGATTTTCAATAGACTTTTAACATTTATAAAGTATATAATATTTATTCAAGTGTCGTAATAAAGTCATGTGGTCTCACCCTCTTTGTTGGGATTGTTTATTCCTTTGGCAATTCCGATTCATATTGATGTGCGAAACAGCCTCCAACCCTCTGGATAATTTAAGCATTTCAGCGCCGAACTGCCCCAATGCGGACATGGTGCACGGTGAAGGATCGCTCTCCTGTATCCAAAGCTCATGAGTATCCAAAGTGGTTAATTCCGTGTCTGTGGATGCTGCAGAATGTGCGTGTTGAGGTGTTGACGGTCGACCACGGGTGGCATTCAACAGTTTACGCCATGTACAATGTCGTTCTGCAAGACACATACAATCAATATATTAATACATATTATTGATATACATATATTCAGATTAAAATTAAATAATAAAACTAAATTGATTATAAATTTTTTGCTGCTAAATAATTTATAAGAATGAATCGAATCGATCAGTAAATAAAAAATTATAAAATTATATATAACTTTTATCGAAGTATGTAAAATAATCAATTTCATTCATGTGCTAAAAATAGATATTTTATAAATCGAACTTTTAACTATAAATATTTCAAATAATTTTCAGCCATTATGTTTTAAAATGCAATTTCACAAAGTGATTTTTCATGACATCAAATTTCAGTTTGATTGACACAATTGACGTAAGTCTGTATTCTCCTTTAACATTTCTCTATGCAATGTTTATTGTACATTTTATATAATATACGTGTTAATAGAACAATACGACTCCATCATTTTATTGTAAATATTAATTGAAATATGATACAGAATACATTATTAGTATAAAGTGTACAAGATTAATCCGTTTTTAAATAGTCCGGGATATTTCAAAATCAATTACCCGTACTATGAACGTATTGCTACTATATTCATTGCTATTTAACAAACAAAAAACACTAATTTTATATAATTTATTAATGCATATATTAATTAGAAGCATAATGATGTAAATACAAACCAATTGAATACATTAGTAAAAACATGGTTCGGATCGTCGATTCTAAATCACTCCTAATATATGTCTATATTGTACCCCAGTATCAATAGCATTTTCCGTGTTCCATTACTGGAGCTCTCTGCAATTAACTCCGGTTTGTGGCTGTTATTGCCTCATTTACAGTACTATCGTAATTAGTAGCAAATTAAATGCCGATGTATGTGCGCAGGTTTACATTTAGATTGCCAAATAATCAGCGGCCGTCGCTCCAAACACTCGAACTTTAATTGAAAATTGTTTATATGCATAAGTGGTCGTGGATAGTAACAAGCATCATTGTCAATTTCACCGGCAAAGCTAATTATATTAATGGAATATCATTCTTAAAATCTATGCGATATTTCCGCAAATTAAAAGTAATTAATTGATACATTATACACGTTAATGTTTCCGCTGTGTATGCAGTTATATAAAGAAAGCTGGCTGCACGCAGAGTTAATTAACTTTAATTAAATGTTATTTTTTTGTAGAAAGTTTGGGAAACGATGCGACGATTTGTGAAATGAGCTGAAGTTCGATGAAATACAAGTAGCAAGTTTCTAGTTTGGGAAGCAGATGTATCAAAGTCCCAATACTTGTGCGTATTCACTTCACTTGTAACTTCATCTAAAGGGGGGTTTGACCTAATAAGTTCATTATATATCGAAATGTTGTTCTTATTATACATCCGATGGTTCCTCAGAAACGAATACTAAATCGGAGTTTATATTGATTTGGATTAGGGCCGTATGGTAGATTTTCTCAGAATAATGCATGTCTCCCAAAATGTTTATGTGTGAACACTGCTTATGCCGCCCCATTACTGTGCCACAAGATGCTGCTACCTCTTTGCATCATAGCACCACACGGTTCCAAGAAAATCACTAAAATGTGAAAACGCTGCTTTTTTTGAGCGGTATTTTTTCATTTATTTAACTTTGAACGTGAATTACAGCCAAATGGATAAAACCACAGCAGTGTATGAATTCTAGCTACATTTCCCAAACATCCAACTTTCCATTCAATCTATTATAGAAGAAAACACTAAAATATTAAAACACTGCTTTTTCGAGCGTTAATGTTTTATTTGTTATATTTCTTTCCATTAGTCTAGGGGTCAGGCATCCGCTGCACTTTTGATGGCAATGCGCATTTACTACTTTCTATTATATAGCATTTAAATATGCAAAAATGAAAATATTTTCTTCTTTATTTCTACCAGCTTTATGGAGTATTGAGTAAAAGCACCCACAGGGAAATTTATTCTAACGTTACGAACGGGAAAATAGGTCAGTAGCTTAGGACATATTGCCATTATAAACATCCATATATAATGTATAATAATTGTTAATATTTTTACTATCTGATAATAACAATATTTATAATTGCATCATAAAAATATAAATTATTTTTGTTTATAATATAAATTATAATTGTGTTATAGTTTTTCTGTAACTTATTGAATCTTAGTTAGTTAAATATTATTTGTTTCTTGAACCTTAACTGTGAAAATATTGGTTGTAAATTAATGATGTAATATGAGTAAACCATATCAAATAGATGTCTACAATTCAACCCTAAGCTCGAGTTACTATTTGAAATTTACAACTCGAGAACTTTGATGTAAAATCTAAATCAATATAGAAATTCAGCAATGTGCTTTATATAACTAATGCAATCATAATGATAATACATTAAAATATTTCATTTTTGCCTTAAGATCTAATGTGCATTTTGACAAACGAGTCGCAGTATTGATTCTTTATCGAAGCAAGACTGAAAGAACGTGATGATGCTAACAGTTATTAGTTTCAATAGCAAAAACCGATTCTTGTCTTATATGAAGTATTATAGTAATAAATTCGATCATAAAGTGTAATTTGTAATGGTATTATATCAAGCAAAAACTTATCAGCAATAGTTTAAAATAATACTTTGTAAAAACTGTTCACTTTGTTTTCATAAAACTGTTATATTATAAGTATAATATAAATTATGAGATTCTTACCTAACTGAGATGGTGCTCCCATCCATCCGCTGGACCAATTTGTTGTTCCCAAGTTCTGTTTTTGGTCCGCCAAAAGGCTGACGGTCAGAGTATACGTAATCAGCATGACGATCAGCGGGATATAGAAGCAGATTATGGAACCGATAAATTTGTACAGCGGATCAGGTATTTGACAATCTCCATCAATTAATACTGATTCGTGGTTCTGGAAAGAAAACAAACAATATTAATTACTGAAATTTCAGTAATTAGGCGTAATTTGATAATTTGATGAGTGAAGTTTAATAATTTAATTAAAAGAAGCCGAAATTATTTTATAGAACGAAGCAGTCAACTATTTATAATTTGGCGTAAATTCATTCTATACATCGAATATCTTTGGAAATATTTAAGGGCGGGAATTTGGTGTGGTTTGCTTTTAGGAGAGCATGCAAAGCCACAGGATTATGCGCTCCGATCAAAATACGGGCAAGCAGAAAATGATTTAATCGATAGAACCTTTCAAAGTTAAATAATAGGATTAGTTCAAGTCTTAAATAATAATAATAATAATGTTTATTGCATTGCCTTCAAGTCTTATATCATGAATATTGAACATTTTTTTCTTAAAAAAAATATTTTCTTTGGACAAAAATGTTCTTAACATTTAAAAATGTAATGTAAATTTGGATTTGATTAATTTTGTCCATATTTTAATGTTTAAAAAATAACGGATGTTAACAGGAAAAATTAGTTTTATTCAGCAAAATAAGTTGTTAATATTAATTAATTTAAAATAAACATTGAAGCTCTTCCACTACAAATATAAATAAATTTGATAAATAGATTTGATTTGTTTTATAATTTTATTATATAAAAATTGGATGAAGTCAACGTTGAAACTAAAGTTTCAACCGATTTATTGGGAAAACCCTTTTACTCGCGCGAATGCATCTGAAATTTATTTTGCAATCTTTATTTTGAAATCTACTGAAGAGGAAATTTAAAGTATATTGTAAGGCTTTCGCTGTACACATAATACATACAAAACGAGCAGTGCATCAATAAATGTGTGTGTACAGTAACTCTGTAACTATTATCAAATTTATGTTTTCATAAATTATATGAAAATACAATATGTAGGTCAAATAGTTGTAGGTGGTAAAAGAACGAAACGGAAGTTCGTTTATTTGTTATCGAGTGGTAATAAAATGTTACATCTTACGTCCGGATATTGTTCGGAATCTATTTTAAAGACTGTATCGTCTACACAGATATTGGTACAGTTAATACAGTGTTATGCCATGATTTCAGATAACAAGTGTCTGGAACTTTAACGCGAAACAAGCCGAGCCCCCAACAGGTAATTACTTAAACATATAAAATATTGTGTTATTCCACACTGCGCTACCATTACCATAATTATGCACAGCATGAATGTAATCCAAACAATGTTGGAGCGGCAAAGCTGAAGCGATTAATAACAATAATTTGCACCCAAATTTGTTTTTTTTTTCATTTTCGAGAAAATTGTAGCAACGGAAAAATAATGAATAATAAAGTGTAGTGGCGTGATTAAGGAATTATTACTGTCCAATAAATTTGACTGTCACCAAGTTAATAATAGCTTCGGTCCACGCGATAAATCTCGCAAATTACGTTACATTTACGATAAAAAAAACAGGTATTTCTCCGCTCAACAAAAAAAGATCAATCAGCAAATTTTGTAATTCAATTAATTTACAAACGCTATGATGAATGGTGTATACTTATTTATTCTATGCATGATTAATGAAGTAAAGAGAATATTTTTTATTGTTTTTTCAGGAACAATAAATATTGTAATTATTGTTTCGGGCGGTAACACGTTTGGTTATATAAATAATGTTATGCTGTATAGTGGAACTAGTAAACTGTAACAATAGTGAGTTGAATACCCACATACCAATCCCTAATTATAGTATAAATGTTTAATATGTTTTACCCTTGAGTATTACACAATGCATACATGATTAGCGAGGGATTTGTATAATACATAAGTTAAACATTAAATATTGACGGCAAAAAATATAATCTTAATTGCGCTGCACACAAATTACATTTGAAAATCAACAAAAGTTATGCTTATATAAATATTAAATATGATCGTAAACGAATGTTAAAATCCGGATTTAAATTGAAAACGTATAAGCTTAATTACTAGATAATAATGTGCGCGCAGACGTATTTGTAATTAATTATCTATGATTTAGCTTCTTGGTTATTTAATTTGAGTAATGAATGGAAGGTAAATCTCGAGCCGCGGCTGCTTAAACCGATTAGATGACTGCGATTAGTAATTAGTGTGTCGATTTGTTATGGAAATTGCTTTGTAAATAAGTTGATGATGAATATGGAAGAAGATAAAAGTTATTTACCTGGGAATACATAAGACTTAGCGGAAGACTCATTGCGATCGAGAGTAGCCACACGAATACGATTTTCAGCGTGACTCTTTTCCGTGATTTATTCCTACCGAACTTCATCGGATACCTAAGTGACAAATATCTATCGACACTTATTGTGCATAAATGCATTATTGATGCCGTACAGAAGAGGACATCCAGACATATCCAAGCGAGGCAATAAATTGAGGGCAGAGGAAAGTGACCTGCAACAAGAAACAAAACTTATATTTCCATATTATTAAAGATCACAATTTATTTATTATTTATTTCTAAATATTACAAATTTGTATTTTAAGATGACTTCGAATTATAGAGTAAGGTTTTCATGTCATCTGACTATCAGCCATCGTTATCATCGTTACATCGTTACATCATTCTCATTTACATTTTTAAATTAATTATGTTTTCATTATAGAATAAAAATTTTGTAAACATGTAAAATATAATACTTTTAATATTTAAAGTTCATTTCATAGCAAAATGTAGGTAACATGTATCTTTGTACAATATGTAACGTCAGTAACTTAATATCTTTCAATTAAAGGATGCCACGTATAATTAATTCAAGCAGACAGCGTTTGCGCATATCTTGCAACACATTTTATGCATATGCTAGACACCCATAGGGTAACTATGTTTAATGAAATTTTAATTAATTCTACGAATACTGTTAATACAATTACTTTAAGGAGTATAATTAATTATTCCTTTTTTTGTAATATCTAGACCATGATACATTTGCGGATGCGCCGGGAAATTCAAAATATATTATAAAAAAAATAACTTTAAAACATTGTACTTGTTATATAAATTAAATTGTTAATATTCAATTATTATGGAATAATGACCTTTGCTCGAATATTACTTAATTGTATTAAACATATTTTCTTATATTTTAGTAATGATAAGTTATTAAAAATATATAAAAAAATATATTGATCCAATATAGTCAATGAACCGTATTATGATAGTAACATTTTGGGAACCTTTGTATCAGAAATACCTCTCTTAGTACGGGTAATCTTTTTTGTCACTGTTTGAAACAGGGATAATAAGTCAAACCATTTAATGATGGTGACCCATAGATGGTGTGTTAATTTTATTTGTACGTAGTTGTTGCGGGTTAAGTTGTAAATTAGTTATTATTAGTAATATATATTTTTGTATAATTTAAATTTCTGAGTTAATTCATCGTGTAATTGTTGACATGAATGAACGACTATTTACGCAATAATACGCTAATTGAATGAACTAATTAAATTAAGTGAATGGACAATGGGTGTAAATAATAGTTGCGCGTTCCGTGAAAAGGTGCGAGTAGGTAAGAAAATTAATAATTAATGGTGGAGCTTCAAAGTGTGATCAATAAAATCGGAATGCATATCATAAATCAAGTGCTCCTGTCAAACCGTTCTAAAATATTTATATAAAATCATTAACTACGGCGCACTGACTTCGAACCATTCAACCGTCCATTCATCAACTCATCCACAAGTCGTTCACTCGGTCTACGCCATACAATGTTAATTATACCAATTAGTTTACTGCCCCTTTTTTAATACACATCAGGGAATAATTACTTATAGTTTTACACGTAATTAAATTTATAAATTATATTATAACAACTAGTATTTATTACAATAGTTACACTAAAAGCCGATTTCTTTCGAGTTCATGAACACTATGAATTCCTTACGGATGGTCGATTTTGATGATAAGTTTTTATCGCATTTTCGTTCCTCGATAATGATCCACATTATGTGATCGTCTAATAAAAACTAGCATAACCTCAATAGAAAAAAAATGCAACCAAATAGTAACGCTTCTTTTATGACACCAAGTATTTAAGACTTCTTTTTATCTTCGTTCTAAACTTTTAACACGAAAATAAAACTAAATTATATACATTTTATTATTTCATTATATTAGTTTTATTTAAAATAATTAGAGTAGGTCTTAATGAATTTTCAATGTGATCATAAGTAATCGTTTAAAACTGCATGTAAATGCAATGTCTTAATGATTCGTGAATGATGCTTTGAAATTACGAGGATCAAAAGAATTTTTGTACGTGCAATTTGCTGATAATATAATGGGTATCGCGACCGCATCCAAGGCAATAATTCAGTGCTTTATACGTTCAAGTGGTTTTTCGCAATTTGGGTGTTCATTTGAGCATATATTAATGTGAGATCTGCACTTGAAAGCTCGCCGGGCTTCCTGTACAAAAAAAAAACCGCTGAGGACAGGCAAAGTCGATGCCGTCGCGCACGGCGAATATTCACATTGCTAATGTGTTAATACGTGACTTCAAACACAGCGGAACATTTCAGTTTTGATCCTCTGCCACGAGAATAATGGCCATTTTTCCATCTTTACATTGTGTTGAAATTAATTATTGAAGATGGAAGGGGACGGACAACGGGGGAAAAGCGTTAGGGAGGGAAAACCTTTGTCTGGGAATCTTTAATCTCAGGCGAGTTTAATCAAAATTTCTACAATTTTCTTAAAACAACGTCCATACCATTTTCCATTACGTATATTGTTGGATTCAACTTTTGGACGGTCCGACAAGAAAGTAAATGATGAAAGATCAAAGTGAAAAAATAATGTAAAAAAAAGTGCATTTAATTTTACCTTGTACAAATATAATTTAAACTTTTACAAGTTTGGTTTTAGTGTAAATACTAATTTACCGACAAAATGATTTATTATTTTGTATTATAATTTCCATGACAATTGATTACTTGTGGTAATTATCCTTATTAAAAGGATTCGTTTGAGTCACATTTTAATATATTGTTTACAAAATTCAATATTTTTCAAAACTTTTATAAAAATAAATAATAACCATAATCTCATCTTGTAACTGTTTCGTTGCGTGCTGTCTACTGTTTTCATTGTTCAATCCATATGTTTCCTTCTTTGTATCACGCACAAACATGCCAAAACTTTGCAGCGAAATGGCCATTCGAACTTGTTTAAGTGAGTTTATTGTAAAAAATGCAACTTCGAAGATCATTCGTGAAACTTCCAAAGACATAGATAATAATTTATTTATGCTCAACTTTGATGCTTCTTGTCGGCTTATACTAATGAAATATTTAATATAAAGGAGAAGACACACTTATTTTCAACATCTAATATAATGATTCGTGTCTTCCAAATAAATATAGTTTAGTATATTTTCATTGACTAGAAAAAAAATACATACATATATAAAAGTCTATTGAACAAGGAATTTTACTGTAACACTGAGTATGATACTTTAAAAACTCTAAAAATACGTATTTTTACTAGCAACAAATTTTTCGATAAGTTCTACAAAAGTATTATTTTTATGAAAGTTACAGATTTTTTTTTGTAAAAACCTCAGGATAAAGATTGATCTGGCCCTGGAAATAAATACAATCTTTCAAAGAGAATATCAATATATATATATATCGCATGGATTTATTCATTAGACATATTTTTTGATGAAGGTAGTAGGATTTTTATATTAATAATTTATCAAGTAATTATGTGATCCCTTGCCCAATATCTTACATACATATTTAATGGGATTCCTTAATCAAGAGGGTCGTGTCGAGAAAGTGCCATGCGATAAAGAACGTCATACTCGCATCAATAATAAATACCTGCCAGGATGTCACTCAACATAAAACATCCTTTAAAAAGTATCTACAACTTTTCTTTATTTCTTCCAATAACTCTATTCAAAGTTATAATTATTTGCGACTAAACTTACGCGAATTACTGAGTAAATTGAAAAGTGAAAATATTTATTCTGCCGTTCCACTCGTGCATATTTTTTATTATACAGAAAACTAAACTTCGTTCCATGCTGAATGCCTCTAATATAATTTTATTTACACGCTCATATGAACGCTCCGATATTTACATACTATACAAAGTAGCACAGCAAATATGCAATATTCACTAGGCGGGAGAAAACTTGAAAATGATAAAATGGAGGTGGAGTAGGTAAAAGAACGCATACGGACAAATAACTGCCGGATATTTGGATGCGCCTCGTACCTTTCCTTTGTTTATGTTATTCTATTACTTTCCAAGCGAAAACATGAAAGTAAAAATACAAACAAAACAAAAATACGCGACACGAAATTCTTTGAATTCCAACCGGACGGCAAGAGGTTAAATTTAATTAAAGCCGCTTTGTAAAACGTCCACCTAACTTGCAGGCATTATCCAGATACTTCGTTAGCCTACAAACGAGACTTCCTTTATTTTAGAGGTCAGTGTTTCCAAAACACATAACCCTTTGGAGATTTTTATTTTAACTTCAACCTAAAATTAATACACAATAATTAAAATACACTAACAATGAGAAATATACAAATTGAATTTAAACCATATTTTAATAATGAAATGTATTAGTCCATATATTTTAATGACAAAATTCGATTACATTTGAAGTGATAATGATACTAAAATATCAATAAAACAACTGAAACTTTTCTCAACAATTTAGCAACGAGTCCATAAATAATCTTTGTTTTTTTTCTTGTTCCTGGATCGTCTTTAAGTGTGTACTTAATGAAAATATTCTACGTAACGCTCGATCGAATACGAAAAAAAAAAGTACATCCCTTATCACCATAAATAACGCATAACGTCGGTCGGTAAATCTTGTTTAAGTAACAAGAAGGGTATATAAAATAAATTTCGGTCATACTCTCTGTCTGCTTCGTGCCAAGAAAATTATACAAAAAGTATAATTAAAAGATAAGACCTAAAATTGAATTACATCCTACGAAGAAGAGAAAAATCCGGTGAACGCAATTTAGCGAGCAAAAAAAAATGAATCACTCCCGCTTTATATTTGTATTATAATACGTTTTACGTATCTCCGGATAATTTAATTTAACAAAATCACGATCGTATTTTTTTTGTATAACTTTCCGTAAATGTTAGGTATTTTATAAGAATGAACGAAGTTTTTCAAACAATTTGATAGTTAATTTAAAAGTATTTGATATTTCACAGGAAATTAAAGTTAAGTAGAAGTTAATGAAACTTTGACAACTTAAATATGTTGATAATATATTTAAGAAATTAAGACAATTCAATTTGAAAACTGATGCTTTGCATTTGTTCGTAATTAATAGTTTAAATTATCTTTATTAAAGCAATATTTAGGAATATCGGTTACGACAATTTTCAGCACTGTTTGAAACTAATC